TCAGCTCAGATGACCTCATGGGGTGCTGACATCATTGTTTCCTAGGAAAACTCCAGGTGGAGGCGGTGTGACTTGCCCAAGGCAAAATTACCCTGCCCCAGACTCTGAAGCTCCTCTGATGAAAATCTGTCAGGAAAAAAAAAAACTATCGTTAAGGTGCTCTTATCATTTGTTTGGTGTCCAAACCCGGGAATGAAGTCTAGTGTCCTGAAACGTGATGAATTTTGAAAAGTACCTTTCGAAAGTTCTGAAGTACTTTATTTCCACTCTGGTTTGATGCTTTGGGATATTGATTTCTTTTCAGTGGTGCAGCAGGTGTACATAGAATCGATTTTGTCAGACCATCTCTTTCGTCACCCCAAATTCCTGGTGTCACCCTACTGTAGACCTTTGCAGTCAGTAGTTTTTGTCCCGAGTTGAATCATTGTCATCTATCATCTTCAAAATACAATTGTCATTAAAAATCCATTCTTGGGCACGATTTTCTAATTTTCAGGAGTTTCTCTCTCTGATTCTGAGTTATTCGGAGTGAAATTTATAAGAACTACCAGAGTATATTGCAGGCTTTGAAAATTAAACAGTGTGGGAGATTAGCCATGTTTAAACAGTGGTGAACCTATGGGATTCATTTTAATTTTCAACTTGTGAGCAGTGGTCTCTTATTATCAGAAGTGACTTGCTTCGCACTCTAGGGATCCACTGGTTATCTCCTTAAATATTTAGACTTGTAATCACAGGTCTAAAAAAAGGAACGTAGTGGTTTTTTTTAAGACGCTAAAGCTCTACCTTGCTGTCAGCTGCCTGTAACCTTTGTTAGTCTAAAAACCAAAGGAGAAGGTAGGTTTCATTTTGATAAACTGTCAGCTAGGAGGCACCTAGCCTACTGCCCCACTGCCATCGTGGGCTCCGAGGCGCAGTTCTTCTGAGTTCCTGAAATGTGAGTTAGCAGGTCATTAAGTAAGTTTAATGCCTCCGAGGTTGGGAAAGAGGCCATCTCCCTCCCACGTGACTGTGGGCAGGGGATGTTCAGGAAGCTGGAAAGCCCACTTGCCTGGTAGTTTTAATGGTAGCAGTTGATTCTGGTGGCGTGTCCGCCTCTTCCGTCTGGTCCGGACGTGTGATCTGCAGCAATGTGAAATGTAATGAAGGAGTCAAGCCTAAAGCTCTGGTTGAATGTGGTACTATAAACATGATCGATGGAAGCAATCATTCTTTTACTTAGCGAAGATTTTATTTAAAAAAAAAAAAAACTACTTTTTAGGATTGGCTGCATGTGGTTTTGGGGGGGGACCTCAGGTGGCAAATTTGCTTTCATTTATGGTGTGTTTCAAAAGTCGGTCGGGACTCCCTGAACAAGTCAGTAGCTCTTCATAGTCTTGGAAAGCATCACACAATGCATTACTGATTGAAAAGACCCAGGTATAAAATCTGCCCATAAATGGTACATGGACACAATATAGAAGGTATTTGAGAAAGTTTCAAAGGATTAAAAGAGACTGGTATTTACTTTCCACATTTCTTAATTCCCACACCCACTCCCAATCCCCTGAAAGTAAAAAAAGATGTGTAACCAGCTTCGTTGTGAAAGAAGTTCAGATAGGCTGTATTTAAGGATAAAATATAGTTTATCTGTTAAGTCGTCTCTGTGGCATCAAGTATCAAAATGATGAAAACACGAATTCATCAAGATATTCTAATATATCGAGCTATTTGGTACTCTGAAGACATTCTGATGGTTATGAAGGTTTCCTTTTTTTTTTTTTTTTTAAATGTTTTATTTATTTCTAGGAGAGAGAGAGAGACAGCGTGAGCAGGGGAGGGTCAGAAAGAGAGGGAGTCACAGACTGAAACAGGCTCCAGGCTCCGAGCTGGCAGTCAGCACAGAGCCCAACGCGGGGCTCGAACCCACGAACCGCGAGATCATGACCTAAGCGAAAGTCGGACACTTAACCGACTAAGCCACCCAGGCGCCCCTTGAAGGTTTCCTTTTATTAGTGAGCCCCATACCTCTAGGTGATTTTTTTTTAAGACCCTTGGAGCGGCTTTAGAAGTGTGCTTTTCTGGGGATATAACGTACAGCACAGTGACTATAGTTAACAATACTGCATTGCATATTTGTGAGCTTTTAAGGTAATCTCAAAAGTTCTCATCACAGGAAAGAACCTTTGTAACAGTAAATGGGATCAGGTGTTAACTAGACTTATTGTGGTGATCATTTTGTAATATATACAAGTATCAAATCGTTACAATGCATGCCTGAAATAAGACAATGTCATATGTCAAATCTACCTCAAAAAAAAAGTGTGCTTTCTGGGGCCTATACCACTAACCATTTCTCCATAGAAGTCTGGAGAAGAAAGATAAAGCTCTCGGCTGGGGGGCGGTCTTCAGTGCTGCGATTCAGAGCTTAGTTACTATGTTTTCCAAGGCAGTGCCTTTTTTATTTTATTTTATTTTATTTTTAAATGTTTTTATTTATTTCTAGGAGAGAGAGACAGCATGAGCAGGGGAGGGTCAGAAAGAGAGGGAGTCACAGACTGAAACAGGCTCCAGGCTCCGAGCTGGCAGTCAGCACAGAGCCCAACGCGGGGCTCGAACCCACGAACCGCGAGATCATGACCTAAGCGAAAGTCGGACACTTAACCGACTAAGCCACCCAGGCGCCCCTTGAAGGTTTCCTTTTATTAGTGAGCCCCATACCTCTAGGTGATTTTTTTTTAAGACCCTTGGAGCGGCTTTAGAAGTGTGCTTTTCTGGGGATATAACGTACAGCACAGTGACTATAGTTAACAATACTGCATTGCATATTTGTGAGCTTTTAAGGTAATCTCAAAAGTTCTCATCACAGGAAAGAACCTTTGTAACAGTAAATGGGATCAGGTGTTAACTAGACTTATTGTGGTGATCATTTTGTAATATATACAAGTATCAAATCGTTACAATGCATGCCTGAAATAAGACAATGTCATATGTCAAATCTACCTCAAAAAAAAAGTGTGCTTTCTGGGGCCTATACCACTAACCATTTCTCCATAGAAGTCTGGAGAAGAAAGATAAAGCTCTCGGCTGGGGGGCGGTCTTCAGTGCTGCGATTCAGAGCTTAGTTACTATGTTTTCCAAGGCAGTGCCTTTTTTATTTTATTTTATTTTATTTTTAAATGTTTTTATTTATTTCTAGGAGAGAGAGACAGCATGAGCAGGGGAGGGTCAGAAAGAGAGGGAGTCACAGACTGAAACAGGCTCCAGGCTCCGAGCTGGCAGTCAGCACAGAGCCCGACGCGGGGCTCGAACCCACGAACCGCGAGATCATGACCTAAGCGAAAGTCGGACGCTTAACCGACTAAGCCTCCCAGGCGCCCCAGCAGTGCCTTTTTTTAAAAGACAAACACATTGTATCTTAGGATTGGGGCCATAACTCAAGTTGCTGTGTTTTATTAGGAAAATAAATGTTTGATAAATTATAGGGCATCAAGGACCAGGTTTTGTATTTTTAGTTTGTTTATGTGAAAACCGCCACTCAAGCGACTTTTAATTTTCATGGCATTGTGTTTTGTTTGAACAAGCTGTTGACTTTTCTGTTTTATTTGTCTGCTCGTTTTGGCCATTTAAAAATATCTATAGATGGGGGCACCTGGGGGGCTCAGTCAGTTGAGGTACAACTTTGGCTTAGGTCGTGATCTCACAGTTTGTGAGTTCGAGCCCAGCGTTGGGCTCTGTGGCTGACAGCTCAGAGCCTGGAGCCTGCTTCGGATTCTGTGTCTCCCTCTCTCTCTGCCCCTCCCATGTTCACGCTCTGTCTCTCTCTGTCTCTCAATAATAAATAAATATTAAAAAATTTTTAAGTAAAAAAATATCTATAGATGTGTAAAAATAGCAAATATATAGTGATTAGTGGTCATGTGCCATGCTTTTGATCATCCTCTGTTTTTAATAGAACCGACACATGTTTTCCTGGATGGATATGTTTTTGAACATGTTTCTCATCTCAGCACACAAGTAGGAAGGAAGTAGAATGGTTGGAAGAATGTGAGGAAAGAGCAACCTTCTGTCTTAAGATTGAAACCACATTTTTTCGTTCCTCTTTTGTTAAGAGCATCAGCCTCATGGCCCAGAACTGAACAGAAAAGCCCCGTAGCTGCGCCCTCTGGGTGTCCTCCGAGCCACTCACACACGGCACTGATCACATGCATGCTGGTTGGTTCCTCGTCTTCCAGGAGCTCTTGACCGGGGAGGGCGTCCCCCTCCTCTGGCGCTGCTCCTGGCCCAGGACACGGGCCTTAAGCGAGCTTCGGGCTTCTCCTTGCTTTGACTCAGTCGCTGCGAGTTCTGGGCTGAGCCAAATCCACCTGCCCCGCGGGGAGCCCATCCGAGGGGCTGAAGGGGGTGAGGGCTGCAGTCGGTCATAGGAAAGGATTTTTCTCTGGGTCAGAGACTTAAAGATAAAAACCAGTGACCAACCCAGACAGGCATAAAAGCCGTGAGGTGGGGACTGTCATTGGCAGAGTTGGACCATTGGTGCCTGGCGGACCCATGTTCAGTAGTCCGTTTGGAAATGAAGGCATGGCGTTTCTTTAACATTTTGTCTCCCCGAAGCCACGGCCGGCGGATGAATGGGGAGAATGCGGCTCAGTGCGTGCTGTGGGACTTAGCGGAACCGGTCGGTTCCCCGCCATCAGTCCCTGCGGGTTGTGTGTCAGAGCGTGTACGAGGGCCTCGCCTACTTGGTTGTGGTGTCGCGAAAGCCCTGTGAGATGGGGGTGGGACTGGGTGGGTGGCTGAGCAACTTGTCTGAGGCCTCATAGCTTGTTACTGGAGGAGGTGGGGTTTGAACCGTGACCCAGTTGATGCTAAGGCTTCTGCTCCGCGGCCAGCACCCTGTGTCCCCCAGGGACGGGGGAGGGAGCACCAGCATCCCGCTGGGTGCGTGCAGGAAACAGATTTTGCCACGAAGAGTTCCGCTCTGACCATTGAAATGACACTGGAATGTTCTCTCCCCGTAGGCATTAAAGACTATTCCAACTGGCCCACCATCCCACAAGTGTACCTCAACGGCGAGTTCGTGGGGGGCTGTGACATTCTGCTGCAGATGCACCAGAATGGGGACCTGGTGGAGGAACTGAGAAAGCTGGGGATCCGCTCTGCCCTTGTGGATGAAAAGAAGGACCAAGACTCCAAGTGAGGGCGGCCCCGGGGCCTCCCAGAGCAGCAGGGGCTGCCGGTGCCCAGACTCCCTGCCGGCAAAGCCTTACTGATTCTGGTCTTCGCTCTCCAGACGGCAGCTGCTCGCCCAGATTCCTCCAGCCTGTAAGCAGTTGGGTGATTTGAGTGTGTCTGGTGTTTGGGCTGCGCATATCCTATTGTGAACTTAATTATAACCACTGCACTGTAATAATTCAATGTTGTATTAGGGTATCGCTGTAAACAGAATCTGTTCGGAGACTGTCATTTGCTCCATGCCTGATTCAGGAGTAAAACGAGGAGCTCTTGAATCATTCTTCATGAGTCCTCTGCACATGTGTCCGTCTGCAAAGATAATATATCTCCCCAAACTTCTCGTAGCTTCTTCTGTTAAGAAAAATGATGGACAAGGAAGAAGATGTGATAACTGGGGTGTTGTTTTTTTAAAATAAACTGCCAACCCGGGGATCCTGCGTGTGAGTCGTTCATTCTGAATAGCAGAAAGACTGTACCTTACTCTGCTCGGGCCTGCTGCAGCAAAGTCCCACAACCTGGGGCGCTTCTGAACAGCACATGTTTATTTCTTTTGGTCTTAGGAGCTGGAAGTCCAAGATCAAGGCTCTAGCCCAGGTTAGCTGTCTGGTGAGGGCTGTGCCTGGTTCATAGACGGTGTCTTCTCACCGTGTCTTCAGGAGGAAGCTCTCTGGGGTCCCTTTTATATGGCACAGATCCCATTCATGAGGACCCTGCCCTCATCTGATCGCCTCCCCAAGTCCCCCTCCTCCAGCACCACCATTCTTGGGGGTGGGTATCCACCTCAGAATGATGAGGGGACACGAAATTCAGTCTGTAGCAGTGTGCATTTTACGTGCCTCTGACCTCTTGTTTTTAGAAACGAGGAGTGAATCTCATACTCTTCTGTTAAATTTGATATAAAAATGGCCAAAAAGTATGTGATGGTCTGATTTCGCCAGGGAAGGTAAGCCCTGTGAGTGCCAGGTGTTGACGGTCCAGCCGGGCGCCCAGGCGGCCGGCCGAGAAGCAAGTGGCCGAGGCTGGAGGAGGCAGCCCCGCTCGCCTGCCCCTGAGGTCTGGTGCTCACAAGCTGAGCTACTGGCAGACAGGGAGACGTCACCAGAAATCTTCCGAAGACAGGAATCCACTGAGCATTTTATTTTCTTAAAAAATGTGGTATATACACTATATTATGTAGAAAACACCCTGAACACCCCACCCCACCAAAAATCTACCAAAACTGATGAAGGAATTCAGGAAAGTCATAGAATTTAAAATCCACTTCATTCCTAGACACTAATAATGAAGCAGCAGAAAGGAAAGTTAAAAAAAAAAAAAAAGTTTCATTTATAATTGCACCAAAAGTAAATAAATTACATAGGAATTAACTTAACCAGGGAGGTGAAAGCCCTGTACTCTGAAAACTATAAAACACTGATGAAAGAAACTGAAGACGCAAATGGAAAACATTCCATGCTCATGGATTGGAAGAACAAACACTGGTTAAATGTCTGTGCTAACCAAGCAATCTATACAGTCGGTGTAGTCCCTACCAAAATGCCAACAGCATTTTTCACAGAATTAGAACAAACAGTCCTAAAATTTGTATAGAGCCACAGAAGATCCCAAATAGCCAAAGCAATCTTGAAAAAAAAAAAAAAAAGAACAAACCTGGAGGTATCACAATTCCAGATTTCAAGTTACGTTACAAGGCTATAGTGATCAATAGTATGGCACTGGCATAAAAATAGACACATGGATCAATGGAACAGAAGAGTAAACCCACAATTATATGATCAGTTAATCTTCAACAAGGGACGCAAGAATATGCAATGGGAGGGGCGCCTGGGGGGGCTCAGTCAGTTAAGCTTCCGACTTCGGCTCAGGTCATGATCTCACGGTTCGTGGGTTCCAGCCCCGCGTCGGGTTCTGTGCTGACAGCTCAGAGGCTGGAGCCTGTTTCAGATTCTGTGTCTCCCTCTCTCTCTGCCCTTCTTCTGCTCATGTTGTCTCTCTCTCAGAAATAAATAAAACATTTAAAAAAAATTTTTTTAAAGAATATGCAATGGGAAAAAGTCCTTTCAATAAATGGTGTTGGGAAAACAAGACAGCTACATACAAAAGAATGAAACTGGACCACTTACATTATACCAAAAAGAAACTCAAAATGGATTAAAGACCTAAATGTGAGACGTGAAACCATAAAAAGTCTGGAAGAGAGCATAGGCAGCAATTTCTCCAATATCAACTATAACAGCATTTTTCGAGACAGGTCTCCTGAGGCAAGGGAAATAAAAGTGAAAATAAACCATTGGGACCACATCAAACTCTGCACAAAGGAAAAAACAAAACGAAACCCTCGTACTGAATAGGAGAAGAGGTTTGCAAATGACTTCCGATAAGGGGTTAGTATCCAAAATATATAAAGAACTGATACAACTCAACACTTAAAAAACAAATAATCCAATTAAAAATGGGCAGAGGATATGAATAGACATTTTTCCAAAAAAGACATCCAGATGGCCAACAGACACATGAAAAGATGCTCAACATCATATCCTCGGGGAGATGCAAATCAAAACCACAACGAGATGCCACCTCACAACTGTCAGAATGGTGAAAATCAACAATGCAGGAAACAGTAGGAGGTGTTGGTGAGGAGGTGGAGAAAGGGGAATCCTCCTGTGCGTTGGTGGGAATGCAAACTGGTGAAGCCACTCTGGAACACAGTATGGAGTTTCCTTAAGTAAAAAGTAGAACTCCCATACAATCCAGTAATTGCACTACTGAGTATTTAAAGTATACTAACACACTAGTTTGGAGGGATATGTACACCCCTGTGTTGACTGCAGCACTATAAATTATGGAAGCAGCTCAAGGGTCCTATTTCATAGATGAATGGATAAAGTAGATATAGTATAGATCTACAATGGAATATTATTCAGCTATAAAAAGAATGAAATCTTGCCATTTGCAACAACATGGATGGATCTAGAGAGTAAATGGTAAGTGAAGTTAAGTCAGAGAAAGACATACCATTTGATCTCACTATATGTGGAATTTAAGAAACCAAGGAACAAAGACAAACCCGACTCTTAACTATAGAAAACAAACTGATGGTTTCCAGAGGGGAGGTGGGTGGGGGGATGGGTGAAATAGGTGATGGGGATGATGAGCACCAAGTAATATATGGGGCCGTTGAATCACTATATTGTACACCTGAAACTAATGTAACTACGTAACTAGCCGAAGTATGTTGGCTATACTGGAATTAAAAAAAAAAAAAAAAGATTTGGCACATAAAAAAAAATAAGGTCTTAATAAAAAAGGGGTTAATTGGAATCCTAGCAGAGATTCCTCCAGTGCGGTATCTCTATCTCTTTGTAAGACTCCCAGTGTTTCTCTGTCCTGAGGCTGGAGGCGAAGCCGGAGGTGAGCTTTACAGTGGCTCCTGGGAAGAAAGCCATCCTGTCACCAAGCGCCTTTGTGTCCCCAGAGGCCTTCATTAATCTCCAGGGCCTTAAACAGAGCATCTGTTGGAATTGCACCTTTCCGGTGGCAGAGGAAGGACAGAGAATGCAGGTTTTTGTGAAAAGGGCAAGGTGACGAGGAAGGAAGAGTGGCTCATTCCCCAGGGCCGTTCTCAGGCTTGTTCTGTGTATTTAATCCTCTTGAGCACTTCTTGAAAAAGCTCTGAAAACAGGCTGACGGAGGTAGGATGGACCTTCTGGGTCCCTGCCACCCTGCCTCCCAAAGAGGTTTTGGGGATTCCGAAAGAAAGGAAAGTGGGAGCCCCACCCCCACTGCACTGGAGACCAGACCGCCCAGTCTGGTTAGAGGGCAGCTCCTGGCCAGTCTCTGAGCTCAGGGCTTCAGAGAGAGAAAAGCAAATTGTTCTCACAAGGTTTTTTAGTACATGAATTGCGCACTCCACCCCATCATTGCCTTGGTGACTGCTCAAAATGAGTTTACATAGACCCCCTAAGGGAGGTTGGAGCTCAGCCAAGTGACCTTTCCTGTTCTACAAATGGAAGTGTAGACACTAGAAGGAAGGCTCTAGGTGTCCCCCGTGCTGCTGCTGTGAGGCGGCAGAGCCAAGGTTGTGACCTTGGCCTTTGGAGAGAACATTGACAAATCACTTCATACTGTCCCTGGAGGAGCCCCGGGCCATGGGGTTCACATATGACAGCAAAATTGTTCCTCACCTTCACATCTGCTGTATAGTCGGTAACTTAGCATAATCTTGCCATTTTTTGGCTTTTCCTTAGATCTGCCAACATGCCTTTCAGGTTCGTCTGAAAAATGAAATGATAAGATTAGCAGGGAAACAGTGGGAGAAGCCGCCCCAGACTATGAGGACCAGGGGAAGGTTCCCAACTGAATAATCTCGCTCCGGTGCTCATGAATCACGGTGAGATCGTATCAGTTGCCAGAGAGCTCCAATGGTTAAGGAAATCCCTAAGCTCTCCAGAAACAGAAATGTTCTTTCCAGAAGTTAATTAATACTTTTTTTCCCCTATATGCTTATCGCGTCGTTAGCAAGTAGAAAATTGAAGATGCTATCTTATGTCAGTCTGAATAATTTTAATGATCTGTATAATTAGAATTCACTGTGATAATTAGAACAGTGACACCAAAGTTCTTGTACAAACAGCAATATCCCACATCATCTATTTTGAAATGCAAGGTCTGCTTCACAGCTTTCCACTGGAGTATGTTGGGCTTGTGTCTTTGTGATTTATTAGCTTATCGTCACAACTTCAACATACTGTGTTCATACACCCTTTAGAGACAGCTGAGGTTGTTTTAGAAGCTTAAACCGTCACATGATTTCAGGTAGTTTTTGTTTCCTAGGTCGGTGGTTCCCTAAATGTCCTCGCACTTCATTTAAGCAGCGAGTGTTGGAGATAAACTTGAGGACAGACAGTAGATTTTAAGAAGTCTCTTGGGTTTGTTGTTACTGGCGCTCGTGAGTTGACTCGTGCAGAATCTGAGACATGCAGCTTTCCTACAATTAATAAAGTCACAGCACCTAGCTTGAGAGAGAATTCTAGTATTTGTTAAATAGCTTAGTTAGATACACAGGGAGAAATTGTATCTCAAGAGGTCGAGTCCCTTGTCACCCTGGACAGGAGAGATTGGGCTCAGGGTTCAGGGGAACAGCCTTTGTGCTGGCCAGGTTTGGTTGAAGTAAATTTAAACCAGAGGCGAGAAAGCTTCCCAGTTTGTTCCTGAGAGTTGCTGACAAGAAAAAAATAGATCTTGGTGGACCGTCACACAAAAAAGTAGCTGATGTGACTTAAAAAAAAAAAAATTTTTTTTTCTGTTCTGCATATGAATTGTCCAATAAACCCGAAACAGCTTAAAGTTACACCTAGGAAGGCTATGACAGCCAGCCCAGCGAGAGTGGGGAGGGAGGAAGGGAGAAGAGCTGGTTCCAAGCCCAGGCACAG